ATAGAAGGACATTGAGGAACATGGAGGACGTGGAGGAACATGGAGGGACATGAGGGACATGGAGGGACATAGAAGGACATTGGGGACATGGAGGGACATGGGGACATTGAGGGACATGGAAGAACATGGAGAACATAGAGGAACATAGAAGGACATGGAGGACATGGAAGGACATTGAGGAACATGGAGGGACATGGAGGGGACATAGAGGGACATGGGGCCACCCCACATTGTCCCCGTGTCCCCATCGTGGCGGTGACGGGCGACGGCGTCAATGACTCAGGAGGACATTGGGGACATGGGGGACATAGAGGAACATAGAGGAACATGGGGACATAGAGGGACCTGGAAGAACATGAAGGACATAGAAGGACATGGAGGGACATGGAAGGACATGGGGGGACATGGGGACATGAGGGACATAGAGGGACCTGGAAGAACATGGAGAACATAGAGGAACATGGGGCCATTGGTGCCACCCCACATTGTCCCCGTGTCCCCTCTCACCCCCACATTGTCCCCATGTCCCCAGGCGCCATCGTGGCGGTGACGGGTGACAGCGCCAATGACTCAGGAGGACATAGAGGGACATATAAGGACATAGAGGGACATGGAAGGACATAGAGGGACATGGGGACATTGAGGGACATGAGGGACATAGAGGGACCTGGAAGAACATGGAGAACATAGAGGAACATAGAAGGACATTGAGGGACATTGAGGGACATGGAGGACATAGAGGGACATGGGGACATTAAGGCCACCCCTGTGTCCCCAGGTGCCATCGTGGCGGTGACGGGTGACGGCATCAATGACTCAGGAGGACATTGGGGACATGGGGGACATAGAGGGACATTGGGGGACATTAGGGGACAAGGGGGGACATAGAGGGACATTGAGGAACATGGAGGACATTGGGGACATGGAGGGACATAGAGGGACCTGGAGGAACATAGAAGGACATAGAGAGACATGAGGGACATGGAAGGACATAGAGGGACATGGGGACACTGGGGCCACCCCACATTGTCCCCGTGTCCCCTCTCACCCCCAATGTCCCCCCGTGTCCCCAGGGCGCCATCGTGGTGGTGACGGGCGACGGCGTCAACGACTCAGGAGGACATTGGGGACATGGGGGACATAGAGG